CTAAATTTCCCAAAAACATTTAGGCAGCAACTCTGTATCTGGCAAAGAAGTCCATTTTTGGCAATTTGATTTAAAATTGATTTTTTAAAAGATTTGTTAAATTTGGATTCTTTGGTGTTTATCTATTTCACATTGTACTTGTGAGATCAGATTTAGAATCGCGGGAGTCCGATACTGTAGGACTTAATCGTCTTCCAAAAAGAGGCACGAAAAGTCGAGCTACAATGGCTGATTGGTTTTCATGGTAAACTAGGAATAGCAACTAGCGATGAGGCAGAATTATGGAGTGTATACAAAGGTCTGACCATCATCTTCGAGAAAGGTATGAAGAAAGTCATCATCGAATCTGATTCAGAACAGTTGAATAATTTAATTAAAGGAGCAGTGAGCTTTGCTTGAAGACACTAAGTTCCTCATGGAGCATTGTGATTGCTCTCTTAAGTACGTCCGGCGCGAAGGAAATGCATGTGCTGACACTCTTGCCAACGTGGGTGTAATTAACCAAGACCCTTTGGTTATTTTTGAAGACCCTCCTAACCAACTTGTAAGTCTTCTTGTTGCAGACATGGTTAACCTTTTCTACGAGAGGCGCTAGCAACCCTCTTGTACTCTGTTTGTTGTTGTTATTTTAGATTAATCGAAAAAAAAAAAAAAAGTTGGGGTGCACACGTACACCGACTCATATGGGATACGGGTGTGGGTCGGGCTACGCTACAAAATAATAATATATATTTAAGTAAATTACAATTATTTCCCTTGTGATTTATGACAATTACGCTGGTCTCTCCATCCTTTTTATGAAATTACACTTACATTTCTTGTAACTAACGACGTTCATGGGAGGGTTAGTTTATTTTTGTTGATAACCATTAAATGTGTGATTATTATTTTAGTTATATCTAATGTGACATTTGGTTATAAATCATTATTTTTAGTTATGATTGAAAAAAATTTAGTTATGATACTTGTGGTAATAATTGTATATAACACACATAAAATGATGTGTATTCTAGAAGAGCATTGCTATTCAAGACCAAAAACTAGACCCAATTTTTAAGCCTGGTGATGTGGCAATCAATTAGGATATTAAGGGTTGCCTAGGAACTAGTGCACATTTTTTTTTTTTTTTATCTTTTTTGGATCACATCACCTCTTTATTTTTTTGCACATCTTTCATAAAAGTCAAAAAACATATTTTTAGCACTTTCCAAAGGCAACACTCTCTCATATCTTCTCTAATTATTAACCAATCATATTACTTATACATCATTGGATAGAAAGTGTGTTCGTATATCATTTTCCATTCTAGAATAAGATATTGTTATGACAACAAGTAATGACAAAACAAATTAAAATTAATTACATAAACATAAGAAAAGTTATTTAATAGTTTTTAATCAATATTTGACATTATACAATTTAGTTATCATCAAAAAAAATAAAATAAAATTAATGAGTCTCATTATCTTAGAGCATCTCCACCCAAATCTTCAAAATTTGGTATGTCAATTTTTTTTGAAAATTTAGGTGACAAATTGAAATATACCAATTTGACATAAACACTCTCCACCCGATCTTTCAAAATTTGCCATTGATGCTTTAAATGAAAACAGAGAAGGAAAAAGAGCCACATAACATCAAGCTTTAATTTAAGACAAAAGGGGGGAAAAAAATTTAAAAAAATCAAGGGGATTTTATGTCAAAATTAACATAAAGAGGTGATGCCAAATGCTATATTAGCTTTTGGCACATCCGGTGAAATTAATACTTGATGCAAAATATGACTATTGGACTGTCATATCAAATTTGAAGTATTAGGTGAAGGTGCTCTAAGTTAATAAAAGCCAACTTGGATAACCCGTGTATTTATTTGAGAGGCATTAGATAATATTTCTAAGCACTTATATGGTTTTACTATATATATATAATTTATTTAATTACATACATACAAGTTTTTGTATTTTTCATTTGATTTCAATAATTCATACTAATTTATTTACCTACAAAATAATTAATTGATTTCTTTTATTCTTAATTTACAGATAATCACTTCAAATGTTATGCAAACAAAACTGAAATCCCTTATGTGCTAATCCAATAATTAATTATTGATTCTTGCCCAGAAAAGAAAACACAAAAACCTTGGTCAATTAATGGAAATGGGGAATATGTAAATCAAAAGCAAACATCAAGAGGTCAGTGTAATTTTTTAAAAATGAGGAGAGGCTAGTGTAATTGTCAAAAACCTCAAGGGAGGTGACTGTAATCTACCCTATATTTTTATATAGAAGTCCAAATTGATTGGTTTGGTTTTGAGTTTTCAAAACATTTTTTTTAAAAAGTAAATTATGTAAATATTTTAATTAATTTTTTATTTTTTTATAATAAAATGTTTATAAAAAAATCTTTAAATTTTTTTTTATAAAATATATAAAAATACAAAAATATATTAAATTTTTAAAAGATTTTTTCATAAATTTTATACTTTTTAAGTATATTTAGATTATTTTTTTATGGTGAAACTATATTTAGATTAAGTAAATGACTAAAAAATATTTATTAAAATATTTTTAAAAAATTATTAAAAATAAAAAAATATAAATTCAAAAAATTGTTTTTAGAAAAATAACTTTTAACAAATTGGTAAATAAAAAATGCTGACGTGGAGAGTGAGGCAGGAACATAACCTTTTCTTTGGGTAGATTTCGTGTGCTCCTTTGCGTTCATACCTCACTCTCTGTTTTTGGACACATGACCAGAAACTTTCTTTGAATAAAAAGAAAAACCCCATTTAGTCCATGTCACTCTATGAGCTTCATAGAGGGCTTCTACTAATAGTAGTGCTCCATTTGTTGTACATAAAACTAATATAGAAGGGATGACAAAATTATCTGACTTAATTATATTTGTTTTACTCAGATTTTAATACAAAAAAAAAGTTTCTTCATACACACAATGTAATTAAAAAAGTAAGTAGATGATGTGTACTTACATAATAGGCGGTGTGCAAATAGAATTACTTTATAATTTTTTATAATTTGTTAAAAAAAAGGATAAATTTTAAATATACCTTTTAAGATTTATTGAAAATACAGATTGTCCCTGTAGCTCTGAAAATTATATTATGTCTCTTGAAATTTCTAATATCATAACAAATTACTCATTTTATTAATAAATCATTAAGTCAGTTAACAATTTTTAATGATGTTAGAAATATATTTCAATTAACAATTATGATATTATTGTATATGAGAGTAATTAGAATTTTCAATTTTTTTTTGTTAATTTTGTTAATAATTTTTTTTTACGAGAGACATTTGTAATTTTCAAAATTATAAGGAATAATTTATATTTTAAGAGATGTAATCATAATTTACAAAAAAAAAAAATAACGAAAGCCTTGGCGCATGAAATTAAATTAGATAAAATTATTATTATTATTTTGATAACCAATTACACAATTAATAAGAATGCATCATAGAATCCACCTGTAATGGAAGTAATGAGAGTACTCTCACATGAAAGTACTTTTGATGGTCCATCATATTCACATGTACATTTGTAATGCGTTGTAAGCCTTCGTTTGGAAAGTGAGTTGACTTTTTGATTTTTTTTGATTATTTTAGTCTGAGTTAAAAAGTTTGGTTTGAAAATAATTTTTTAGCTTTTTTGACTTTTTTTTTTTAGAGAAGAATGTAATGATTATGAATTTGATGTGATATTTTGTTTGTTATGGCTAAAATAGCTTATTTTATCTTTCGTGACTAAAACAGCCCCAAATCTCTTTGCCAAATGGAGCCATTCGTCTAAGAATTTAGAACCCATCAATTATCGTGTTGGTGAATTTGTAACTCAACCCACTTAAAACTTAACTATATATATATATATATATTACAGAAATTTACGGATTTTATAGTTTAATTTAAGGCCTTGTTTGGGGTGTACTAATAAGTACACACTTTTTACTTTTTTATCTTTTTTTCATCACATCATCACTCTACTTTTCTACACATTTTTTCGTAAAAAGTTAAAAAGTGCACTTGTTTAGATCATTCCAAACAACCCCTAAATATCTCCATGTTATTAGTCATAATTATGTCTTAGGTAGACACTCACACACAATGGTAATTTTTTTATTTTACAATATAGTAATAATTAAATTTTATACAATAAAATAGACCAGCTGGTCCAACCCGAAAAATTGGGTTAGTTTCGATACTATATCTTGATTGGATTGGACAAAGATTTACGAAATAAAAAACTGACCAAGGACCATTTTAATTGTGAAGGGGGTTCTTTTGAATGACAACTCTCTCTTGTTAAGATGTTTGTACAACAATCAACAAGTGCTGCATATAAATTTGAACAATGTGGCAGCATTGCATGGATTAAGTGATGCCTCCTCACAAGACTCTAGTAACCCTTTCAATCTAAAGACCCATCCATGTCATCATCATTTTCTCCAAATTTAGACTAAGGCTAAGTTTGGGAAGTTGAATATAATCCATCTTTTTATTTTTTTTTCCATCACATCACCTATCTACTTTTCTACATATCTTTTCGTAAAAAGACAAAGTACACTTATTTAGGTCATCCCAAACAACCCCTAAATATAAAAAACTTGCATTTAAGAAGGAACTGAAATTAACATCATTATCACTGAAGGAGGACTTTTTAAGATAAGAGGTATACTAGATCCAAACTGTAATAAGTAAACCCGTATCAAACAAGACGCAATATCAAGAATTCTAATTTAAAAGTCTTAAATTTACGGTCAAAACCTCTGTACCACTTCACTACCCATGAGAGTTTGCTTGTTAAATCAATTTGTCAAGTAATTATGAACATCAAAACCCCATTCATCCTTCATTTTGTGTTACCATGCATGCAACCTGATCATAGGTTGCTAAATTTGCAGGCTGATCAGCTGCGAGTATCATAAAAGTCAACATACCTTTCAGTCCAATACTTAGGTATATATATAGAATTGAAAAGAATAATAGAACATCAAAATTGAAATCCACTGAATTATAATGAGAATAGAAACCATAAAGCTCCAACTAGTTTGCTACAAATCAACAATTTTGAAACCAAATTCATTGTGGCACAACTTCAAACATCTTTGCATAAATGACATTGATGTTACACTACAATTAACACCACCAAAAACAGTCATATATGCTTTCTTCCTACCTACTTTTTACAAGATGTTAGGAGTACCCCAGAAAGAAGTTGATCTCACCATCAGCAGTCAGTTGGTCTTCACAAAATGACGTGATAGCAACTTCCCAATCTCTAGAAACCCCACTTTGTCCTTCCCTTCAAAAAGCGTCTTCAGCCTCTCGTCACAACAAATCTCCCTCTTATTTGTGGGGTTCTGCAGTCAAAAACATCCACATATCTCGGTCATATATATCATGATAAACAGAATTTCTCTAACAGCATACATACTATACATAAATATTTTTTTTTTGATAAATATACTATACATACATATATATATATATATATTAACATTTGAATATTTAAAGGTTGAAAGCGTCTTCATTAATCAAAGTAAACAATCAAACATAATAAAATGCAATTGAGCAAATCAACACTGAATCAAAACATCAGCATATCCTCTGCTACATTCCAAAATGACAGTACATAATGCACCCTGTACAACACTTTAAGCACAACCCATCCAACTCTGGACCACCTCAATTATGCGCATTTTGCAATAATAAACAAGTTTCAAGATAGACAACAGCATGGTTCCTATATGTTTTCAAATTGATTCATGGGGAATGTTGTGGAGATGATTATAATGTAAATTTGTGTTGAAATTTTGAAAATCTCTTCTTAAAATACATTGTTGAAAATAATAGATTTTTGGTTGAAAAATTATTGAATTTTGGAAACTAAGAATAAGGGAAAGTGGTTGAAATTTGAAATGAGAATGATGATGACGGAGTTGAGTATGTAATATCACTCCTACACATTGAAATTATGAGATTTTGCTTCTTGTTGGAAAATTTATCTTTTGTTTAGAAATATCTATTTTGGATTATCGATGGAGGATAACTTTGATTGTTGTAAAAATTACATGAACAATAAGTTAATTGAAAACTATTTACTCATACACATTGTATTGAACATTGTTTTACATACATATTTTAAAAATGTATTATTTTGAGAAAAATTGATAAATACCTTGGTGAATCTGGTTAGGGGATGTGGTTGTGGTTTTCTTATGTTGACCAGTGTGTCCTCGATGAAAGTTTAGAAACCCGCCCGATTAGGTGTCATTCCTTTCGGCTAGTACCGGTAAAATGACTTTCATAGTGCTTATATAGCTTACTGGCAAACACATATCTAGATATTCCCAATATTGTGTATCGACTGCCCTATTTTCTATTTGAAACATATTGTTTTATGAATTGATCATAATCATGTCACGACCTTGTTTGAGAATAAGGAAGTGAAACGTTTTGGTAAAGGCATGCATGAGCATTCACCTTATGACTTTGTTAAGAATCATATATTATGTTAAAGTGTCTCTATTGTGCTTTAGTTCACCCTATGTGGAAAATAACTTCCAAGTGCGGATGATATGACTCCACTAAGGACATAGCTTAGGAGGACTTGGAGCCGAAAGCATCATTTGTTTCTCTTGTGTAACTAACTACTTTTCATACAAGCCTTGAGCTCTCTATGTATTGGAGTTTAACTCACTTTTGTTGTACCCAAACATTGACTTGGAAAGATATAGCTATTAGGTCATAAACTTACACGTGCTTTCTTTCGTTTCGCATTATGTCATGTCATATGTTATAGATTCAAATATAGATTTATGAATATATACATGTATATGTCATATTTTGTATGAGAAAAGAGAACTAAAAGAAGGGTTAATTTTGTATAAGTTTTTTCTATTCCTGGTATACCATGAAGTGGGTTACTACAATTATTTCGGGGCGTTATAGACATGCTCTCCTCAACTAAGTGTGTGCCTTCCCCTCTCCGTAAGATCACCCGCTTTGCTTGCTACAGCTTGCCCACACATCCTCCGTCAAGTGGCACTCCAAAACTTGGCATTATTGTAGCAATATAGGCAGGAAGCTGAGCCTAGAGTCAAGATCACTGCATCTCAGAGGCTAAAGCTGAGGACTAGTCATGGCACCCTCAACAACCTCCCCTAGCAAGTGTGCCCGCACCTTGACCAATCTTAGAGAGGGACAAACACAAGAATACAAGACCTTTGACCTAGACACCACACATTTGGAAGTGTACCATAGCCTACCTACTGCAACTCTTTTTATACAAAAGCTTAAAATACGTAGCCAATAAAATTCCATGACATAACTCCTGAGAAACTGAGCCACCTGCCCCTAAGCCTAGATGACTGAGCTCGGTTGAGCTAGCAGCCCCCAACATTCCTATGTGAAGGAGTTCTCCATGCATGATAAGGATCGTTCAACCATTAACCTCCTCACTGGCTGAGCTCAAGACCCTCCACTGCCTCTATATCACTCTCCTAAGATTGCATCAACTCTCATCTCCCCCATCTCTGGTAGTCTCCAATCAGCATGGAGCCTTCCATCTTCCCATAGGGTATCATCCCTTCATCCCCAAGTATTAAGCATTGATAAAATGCGAGTACACTGAATAAATTAAAGATAGATGCTTGAATGTAGTTATGCATGAAGAATGCATAGATTACACGTACGTGGTGAACTAAATAGCTAGGATACAGTTTTCTGAACATGTTATGGTCATTATAGAATTCAAACAATTAGACTAAGGCCCCATTTGGCTAAAGACTTTTTGGCTAAAATAGCCAAAAATCTTACACACCCATTCACATCACTCTCTCTAATTTTTTGTACGATTTTTTGTAAAAAGTCAAAAAGCCAACTAAAATAGCCTATTCCCAAACACCCCCTAAGATGAAGATCTGGCTCATGGAGGGTGCTAAGCCATTTATATACAACTACAGCAAGGTTTTCTAAAAGCTTTTTTATTCCACTTGATCAGATTCTATAAGTGGATACATAACTTAATTTATTACTTCCACATAACTTAACCTGCCCAAACCAGTTCTTTTAATACCCCTAATCCAAACACATCATACAAGAATCACCACTACTAATATATACACAAACACAAGCAAAATTCGTGACCTTCAAGGAATGAGTTATATAGCGATCCCGGTTTTCCCTCTATTGTTTATTTTATTCCGGACTCGGTTCCGTGAATGTATGTTGTTGTCTTATTCTTGTTTCCATCCTTTGATTCTTTGTAATTGAGTCTTGGGGTGTGTTGGGCAAGTTCGAAACAAATTGATTGGGTGTTAGAACAAATAGTTGCTGTCCAGTTTTGGGTCTCTTTGCTTGAGCGAGGACTTTGTCACTCGAGCGAGCCTTGTGTTTTTCCTTCTTCCCTCGAGCGAGGTTTTGTACGCTTGAGCGAGTATTGTGGGTCTCCAGGTTTTCTTTGACGCAGCTTTGGCTCGAGCGAGCTCGGTTTGGTGTGTTTCTTCGCTCCAGTGAGAGGTCCTTCGTTCGAGTGTACGTCTGCTTCTCTTTTGGACCTGAAGGTTGTGTTTCTTGACTCGAGCGAGCTTTCCTTCACTCGAGCGAGCGAAGGCTATGTTTTGAGTTTCTTCGCTCGAGCGAGGACTCCTGCGCTCGAGCGTGCTTCTAGGTTGCAGACCTGAAGCTTCGTGTTGTTCGCTCGAGCGAGGCTTTGTGCGCTCGAGCGAGGTTTGTTTGTGTCTGGTCGCTCGAGCAACCACTCCTTCGCTCGAGCGAGCCTCGAGTATATCAGTTGTAGCAGCGTGTTTCTTCTTCACTTTTTCACCTCTTTTTACTTCCAAACCCTAGATTCAACTCTCTCTCTCTACATACAACTTCTCTCTGCAAATACCCTTGGTTCTTGGGTGAGTCTACCCTAATCTCTTTGTAAGAAAGGTGGAGCTTGGTGCGAGCTACACTTTGATCCGAAAAAATTGTACTTTGGATCACTTTCGAGTTTCTTCATCTTCTCCTTTGGGATCTTAACTTCGAGGTAGGGATGATCTACTCCTCCTTATGAGTTTTAACATAAATATTAGTCATTTAGTATAGATGTTGAGATTTGGTGATTTAGGAAGCTAGGGTTTGAGATTTGTGTTATATAAAATAGGGGTTTTGTGTTTTAAGCTCCATATGTATATGAGGTCTTGAAAATGAGGTTTTGTGGATTTGATAGGTGAGATATGGTCTTGAGATCAATGTTTGAAAAAAGGAAGAAAATGCCCTGATTGGATCTAAATAATTAATTTGTATAATTAATTTGGTAATTGTGAGGAATATGAAATTTGATGAAATTGGGACTAGTTGGTGTAGTCGGTTTGATAAATCGCTCACCTATGGAAAATGTGATAATTTATCTGTTTAGTAAATTCATTTATCTGTTTAGAAATAACTACTTTGGGCTATCGGTGGAGGATAGTCTTGATTGTTGTAGAACTGCATTATGATTAGGTAAATTGAAACTAATCAATTGAAATATGTTATTGAATATGATAGTGGGAAGAATACATTGAATATGATAGTGGGAAGAATACATTGAATATGTGCCTTAATTGATCATGGTATAAGATAAAGAGTTTAATACATTGTATATGTATCTTGTTTGGGAGGAGATAGGAGATGTACTCCGTATATGATTATGTGTTTTAATACATTGTATATGTATATTGTTTGGGAGGAGATAGGGGATGTACTCCATATGTGCTTATTTGCTTTAATAAATTGTATATGTACATTTGCTTGGGAGGAAATAGGGGATGTACTCCATACGTGTGATTATATGCTTTAATACATTGTATATGTATCTTTGTTTGGGAGGAGATAGGGGATGTACTCCATTGTTTAGGAGGAGATAGGGATGGACTCCATAGATAATTAAGTTGGCCGGAGTGTCCGGGGTGAAAGTCCCGAAACCTTATAAATTGAAGTGCATGAATGAAGTTGACATTTGATGTGTTAATAACATGAGTTGTAGTCTCATTATGAATTGATGATAATTGAAGTGTTAATTACATGAGCTGTAGTCTCATTTTGAATTGTGGAAAACGGAAGTGTTAATAAGTTGAGTTGCAGCCTCATTTAAATTGGTTGGTTAGATAATGAACCATATTCAGGAATTTAATTGGATGAATAAAGGGAAGTGAATTGAAACATGGAGGTAATTGTTGCTGGGCTATGGGAAGGGTGTGAGTTGGGTTACAAGTGTTAATCATTTGTCGAATGTTAATGTTTTAGTTATTTCTCACGTTGAGTTTAGCATATCTCTACTAGGCTTTGGCTTACCCTACTTGGGACACCATTTTCAGGTGCAGGAGACGTGCCGTCTCCAAGATCTTTGCTTGGGAGGTTTAGGAGTTGAAGACTCTGCTTTGTTATTTGTTTTGTTGGTTACATGTAAATGCGAGCCAAGGGCTTTACTTGTAAAAGAGATAAAACTCTTTGCTTGTGTAACCAAGTAACAACTTGGAAAGATGTAAGCCCGCAAGGCGTTCTATTATCTTTGTAAACATTTTTAACTTATATGAAATACTCTTTGTAATATTAACTCTGATGTATGCATGGAAATGTGATTTATCCAGCATATAGAATTGTTAGATGTTGGGATTATATCATATTTTGAGGGCGTTACAAGTTAAGTATGCACTTTGCGTATGACCTGGTAACCCGGTTAAGGGGATCTCTCGAATCCCACTACAATCTCATCTCTTGAAAGATTGACACAGGGAAAGCAATGGCATGGGTGAGATCAATTGTTTTGAAACAGAACAAGTTGAACTGCTAGTACAAAAACAATGAAAAATAAAATTGCTATGAGCAATATATGTGTATATATACAAACTAGCGATTGGTGCACATACAATGCATGCGCAAAGATCTGTAGTTTGTAAAGAAAAAAGATGAATAAAAACTATCCATGTTTTCACATAGCAGTTTTCAAGCTCATCAACTGCTGTGACCATTTTTAGAAAACCAAAAAAGCATGACGAAAAAGTATGGGAGCCTCTAAATGCATCCCACATTGGGCACCCCATTTCTTAGGACACCCAAACCTAAATTTGAATTTTGTTGAATACCCCAATTAATCCTCATCCTACCCTCATATACTCTAATCACCCATCCTTCTCTCGCGCCACTGTCACCACCTTCTCCTCTACCTCTACCACTAGCCCCCAGCCCTCCCCACCACAACCTCCCTCTCCTCCACAAGCCACCCCTTCCCCCACTGCAAAACCACTCCCCACCGATGTCCTCTTCCCTCTCTCTCCCTAAAACCCTAACCTTAAGCCGCCACCATACTCTCCCCTTCCCCTCCTTCCCAAACCCTAACCCTAAAATCATTTTTGTCGTCTTCCTCTCCCCTTCCCATCATCTTCCATGCCACCAGGGATAGCCGCAAAATTTTAACCTTGAAAGGATGAACATATAATAAAAATTTTAACAAACGTGTGAATGCAATATCAATTTCTATCAACAAAAATAATGTGAAAAATATCACAAAACTATATCATTAAATGTTTCCATTCCACATACTATATAAAATACAAAAGTATGATCATAATACAATAGAACATGTGCAAATTATTGGCCATTTGCAAATATCTTGCAAGAAATCCATACTCATTTGCTGCAAATCATAATATTTCTGAATATTAGCCTCCCAATTATATTTTGTTAAGAACCACATTACTTCAAAAGGAGAGGGCAAATATTGATAGATTGTTGCAACCAATTAGGGGCACATGGAAGGAAAAAGGGGTGAACATTGTTAGTGATGGTTGGAGAGATTCTCAATGAAGGCCTTCGATTAATTTTATGGCAGTGAGTGAAAGTGGGCCTATGTTCATTAAGGCAGTTGATTTTTCTGGAGAAACTAAAGACAAATATTTCATTGCAAATTTGATGAAAGAAGTGTTTAATGAGGTTGGGACAAGTAATGTGGTTCAAGTCGTCACGGATAATGCCTCCTAACTATAGGGCAGCCGGACAACTTATTGAAGCTCAATTCCTTCATATTCTATGGACTCCTTGTGTGGTGCACACATTAAATCTAGCTTGGAAAATATTTGTATTGCAAAGAATATTGAGAGGAATGAAGTCACATATAAAGAGTGCAATTGGAGTAGTGATACTGCCAGAGATGGTTTGATGATTAAGAATTTTATTTCTAATCACTCAATGCGATTGGCTATATACAATGAATTTGTGCCGTCGAAGTTGATTTCGGTTGCCAAAACACGATTTGCCTCCACAATTGTTATGCTCAAGAGATTGAAGCTTATAAAACATGGTCTTCAAGCAATGGTGATTAGTGACAAGTGGAATTGCTATAGAGATGTCAGGAAGGCAAAATTTGCAAAACAAAAGATTTTGGATGATGTGTGGTGGGACTACATTGATTATATTATTTCCTTCACGGGTCCTACATATGACATGCTCAGGGCTTGTGATACGGACAAGCCTTGTCTTCACTTAGTATATGATATGTGGGACACAATGATAGAAAGTGAAGATAATATATATGCATGAAGGGAAAATAGTAGATGAGGATTCTACATTTTATAATGTAGTGCATCAAATTCTTGTGGATTGTTGGAATAAGAACAATACTCCTCTCCATTGTATGGCACATTCATTGAATCCAAAGTAAGTACCATATTTAAAATTGTTTTAGATATTTTATTTTAATGGACTTATCTAGTCTTTCTTGAATAATTATTTTTCCTATTTTGTATTGTAGATACTATAGTGATGAGTGGCATAGGGATGAAAAGGTGACACGTGAGATGAACAAGTGTTTTAAGAGGAATTTTGAAGATATCATGGAGCGAACCAACGTGATAATAGAGTCTGGAAAATTTTTGAGTTATGTTGAAGCATTCTCCGAATATGATTCCATTCATAATAGGTGGCACATGAATCCTTAGACTTGGTGGTGTGCATATGGTGCATATGCACCAATACTTCAAAAACTAGCTTTGAGATTGTGCAACCCGCCTCCTCATCTTGTTGTGAGAGAAATTGGACTACTTACTACTTTATTTACTCAGTGAGAAGGAACAAAATGGTCCCTCAACGAGCAGAGGACTCGGTGTTCATTCATAGCAATCTTCGTCTTTTATCAAGGAGGAGCTCCTAACACTTGCAAGGAGAAACAACAATGTGAGACATTACAGGAGATAACTTTGACTCACTTGATGATATTGAAATGCTTGGGATAGCTAACCTCTCATTTGATGAACCGACTATGGAGGCGGTCCTATTTACAGATGAGGGAGAAAATGGAGGTGATGGTGAAAATGTTGTACTAGTTTCCTCTAGTTAAGTTTACATTTTATGATATTTATGGATTTTGTAATAGATGATAGTTGTTGGTACATTGGATACTTTACATTTTGTGGTTTGGTTTTCATGCATTTTGTAACAAATGATGGTTGGTAGATTGGAATAACATGTTATGTATTGATGGAATACAATTTTTATATTATTTGTTAATGATATATATGGTGTTAAATCAATGAAATGTTTTCTTTTATATGATTTTAATAGTGTTATCTTGTATTTTTTATTACCTTTCAATGATTTTTTTTTAAAAAAAAATTTATCACATATAATAAATAAATTTAATTGTATATATTGAATGTGTCCCCCATGTCGTGTCCTGTGTTTGTACTTCATAGCATAGACCCTCTCCTTCCACCAAAAATCAACAATCCTTATCAACAAAATCAAAATTTATAGATCAAATTGAAGTTGAGCTATAACTGATTTGTAACGGAAAATATGCCCAATTGTTGAGTCTTGTCTCTAGCTTTGGTGTGACTCCCAAAATTTTCAGAAAGCAAATTGTCTACACATGTATATGTATATGCATTTGTGTATATATGCATTCGATTTGATGGAGTTGATAAGGTTAGGTATTTATATCTTGGTGGTGGTGGAAGGTGATGCCGGTGATAATAGGGTGGTTTCTTTACTGGTTGGTGAAGTTATTCGGAAAAGCTTCACATAAGGGCAGCAATGAGGCTAGAAAGGAAAGAAGCAATTGCGGTGGTGGTTAGGGTAAGTAGAGGGAGTGGCAGATGAGGTGGTTGTAGGTGGCTCGGAGGAGGGAGTGTGTGACTAGTTAGGATTAGATTTTGTAGGGTTAGGGTTTTCACGGTATGAAGATGGAAGATGGAAGATGGAAGATGGAGGGTAGGTCTGTCTTTCAATTATTTTATTTTCACTTTATTTATAAGAAAAACCATGCTCACACTCGAAAATAGCACGTGTATTAGAGATTCTGTCAATTTGGACGGAAAGTGTAACAGTTGCATTTTAGTCCAAAACCATAAGAGATCTCTCTGCCTATTATTTGAACCATAGGGGGTAAACTGCTCCGAGAAGTGAATTTTAGAGTAGTGGTGTGTCCTGAGAGTATTGAAAGGTGTGCAAACAGAATTAATATGGGAGTCCAACACCAACAACATTTTTGGGTGTATTTAGACCCAAAAAAGTGTTCATACCAACAAACCAATACACTATATGTAGAAGATAGATGGATAGATATGCATAAGTAGAAAGATGGAATATGAAATTCATCCTAGAACCATTAATCACGGAGATTCATAAGCAAACTGATATCCCTGGGGTTGGGTTTTACTAGAGATAAACAAGAGAGGACATGTAAATTGTAATACTAGCACAGAAACACATAAAAGTAAATAGGAACCCTAATAAGATGAGAAAACAATTTTAACCAAACAAGAAGAAATCAAATGAACTAGGGTTTCAAACAATCATCACAAAATGAAAGGAGAAATTGAGGGAGGGACCTGAAGGTTGTGGAGTTTGATATAGTCCCAGGTCTTCTTGACGGCGTCAGTGCGAGCAGCCTCGGGAACGCCGAGGAACTGGTGGAGAGCTGGCGAGACTGGGGCTAGCTTCAAAATGCCGGTGGGTCGTGCCATTTTTGACGACGACGACGACTTGGAGACTGCCTTTGGCTTTGGCTTTGGTTTTGGTTTTGGTTTTGCAGCAGAGGATTTGGGAGTGGCAGCCTTGGCGGCGGCCATAAGAGCCCTGCAACCCTTCAAAACCCCTGATGATGATGACATTGGCCCTCTCTCTCTCTCTCTCTCTCTCTTGTATGACCTTAGCTGCACGAGTATTTTCTCTCTGTGCTTTGTGGAGTTGAGTAGAGCAACAAACTGTCAGCTGACTCTGGTTTTGCTTCGACTGAAGAAGACCCCAAGGCCTAGAACCAAGGGTATTTCCCCTGTTTTTTCTTGCTACATTGACGCCAAGTGACATGGACCACCGTGCAACTCAGGTCAAGTCATGAAAAATGGTGTCATCATTTTCCAAGATTAATATTGGGTGGATTAATTATTTATGTGATTAGTGTAAAATTACTCGTCTACCTAGATTAGTAAGCCTCCGTTTGGAAAGTGGGTTAACTTTTTGACTTTTTTACTTTTTTGACTATTTTAGCCTGGGCTTAAAAGTTTGGTTTGGGAATGACTTTTTGGCTTTTTGACTTTTTTTGTGAGAGAAGAATGTAATGATTATGGGTTGGATGTGATGTTTTGTTTGTTATGGCTAAAATAGCCTATTTTGTTTTTTGTGGCTAAAATAGCCAAAAAAGCCCAAACCATGGCTTTCCAAACGAAGCCTAAGATAATTAATTTATTCTTATCCAAGTTGGTTTTGCTATAAAAATAGAAATATATAATCCCAATTATAAGTTTGTATTAAATTATTAGTTATAGTATTAAAAAATTTATCAATTTTGTTGAATAGAATGTCTATTAGAATCTAATCCGAATGGCAAAAATTATAACTAAACAATAGATTTTGAGTCCAATGGATTAATAATTCTTATCATATGCTATAATCCGGTCAATAAAACAGGTTTTTTTGGGTTTTCCTATGATGTTTGTCCTTAAAAATTGTGACATTAATCACAAAATGTGTAATCTCGTCACAAATTGACGTAATAAAAAATATCGTAATCAAATCACAAATTTTTGCAATATCAATTGCAAAATTTTAAACATTTGTTATACTAATTTATAGTAAGGGTACGCATTTTAAAATTGATGTTATGAATTTTTGTGATAAAATTATATATTTTGTGATAAAATGCATATGAAATGTAACCTTAAAGAGGTGCACACCATAGCATTTTCCTATAAGAAGGGTTAAAGAGATAGTAGGTGTAAAAATACAAAAATCGCATGTTTTTTATGTCCGTAATTCATGATAAATTTTTTTAAGGGCTTTATGCATTAAAAAATATTTACTTATTCTTTTAATACAATACGGTTATGTTAAAAGAAAAAAAAGAAAAGAAAATTGACTAAATATCTTTATTTTTTATTTATTTTTGTAAAGACAGACGCAATAAAATAAAAATATTATAATTAATTTAATTTTTTTTATAGATAATAAAAAAATTATACTCCCTCAATCCCACAATGTTGGTCCATTTTAAAAATTCTTACATTATAAGGAAACATTTAATTATTACTTTAAAGTCAAATCAAAAGGCATTGATTTATCATATTGCCCCCTTTATTTCCATAATTAAATATATTTATAATTATTTTTAAAGGATACTTTTAGAATAATATAAAATTTTATGTTTGGACTTTTCACAATGAACCAACAATATGGAATGCAGGAAGAACAAGATAATCGATTCAAATTGAGACCCGTAATGATTCCATGTGTCCCTCAAGTTCTGGGGGTGTTTGGGAAGCCTTGGGTTGGGCTATTTTAACAACATTTGAGAAAATAGCCAAAAAGCTTCACTTGTGCATAATTTTCAAACAAAAAAAAAAAATTAAGTCAAATGATTACGGCTGCTGCAGCAACGCAACTTATACTACCACCAACAGTGTAGGCTGCAAACAGGTGTAATTACAATATTATCCTTACACAGTAATTTTGGAAAAAATAAAATTAGAGATAAATTTGTCATTTTAATTTAAACATCATTTCAAACACATTTTTCAATACAACAATTCAAATAAAAATTCATCTCATCTTTCCAAACATAAAAACTAAAATAGCCTATTAAAATAGTCAAATAACCAAAAAGCTTAAAAAATAACTACTTCCCAAACGAAGCCTCTGTCAAATTTAAATTTAAACTTAAAATAATTCAAATCCTTGTACCTAAGACGTAGTGCGGCTAGTGTATAGTAATTACTGTTGTATGTGTAACGGGGTCACTTCCAGGCTCATTTAGACAATTTGAATCATTTAGGTTACGTTTGGTACAATTTTATAAATATAATTTGAGAGTATGAATTGTATTTTGGGTTATGAGTTGTGGAATTATGATTTGAGTGTAGAAAATTTGTTTGGTTATGGTTTTTAAATAGAGTGTTAAATTGAGTTTTGAATTGTGTGTGAAATTGAATTTTGAAAGTTTGATTTGACATGTGAAGTAAGAAAATTTGTTTGGTTATGAGTTTTGAAAAGAGTTTTCAAAACTTAATTCAAATTGTTATAACTCATAACAAAACACACAACTTTTACACTATTAAAAATTCTGATCAACACTCGTAACAAAACTCTTTTTAAAATTCAATTAAAAAAATTTATTATTAACAGAAAATAACATTAATCAATTTTTTAATTAAAAATACTACAAAAGAAGTAATTTTTTTTCAAAATAAATATTCAAAAATTTTAAATCATAAATATTTAAATAATTTAAATAATCTAAAAAATTTAATAAGTAAAAAATTAAAATAAATATTCAAAAAAATTAAATCGTAAAAATTTAAATAATTTAAAATGTTAATATGTTAAATTTAAAAACAACTCTACACTCAAATCGAAACCAAACACATAAAACAAAACTCAATAAAAAAATTATTTTTAAAACTCATAGCAAAACATATAACTCGAAACTCCATACTATTTTCACAACTCTACACTCAAATCGTAACCAAATACATAACAAAAAAATTAAAATATTTAAAAATATTTTTATAAAATAGAGTTTGAATTTATTTTTATAAAATATTTTAAAATTTTAAAAATTAAAATCGTAATATTTAAAAATATTCAAAAAATTAAAAAAATTAAAAAATTAAAAAAATCGTAGCATATTTAAATATTAAAATATTTAAAATCTTAACAAAATTAAAATATTTTTAAAATATTAAAATATTTTTAAAATATTTAAAAAATTAAAATATTGATTTGAATTGAATTTTGAAAAGAGTTTTGAATTATGTGTTTTGTTATGAATTTTGAAAAGTAATGATTATGTTTTGAATTGAGTTTTACGAAATGGGTGTACAATTATAATTTAAAAGCTCAAAACAAACAATACACTCAAATTAATGGGTGAAACTATAATTTGAGAGTTGTGTCAAACGAAGCCTTATTTTTAGAGTACATTAAGTAGAATATTTCTGTAAAATTTCAAATTAATCGAATATTGATAAACTTATAATCATATTAAATTTATATCTGTAAAAATAAATGATAGGTGTAATTTTAATTATAAAATTAAATAAAAATTTGATCTGATCATAGGCAACTGATATTCTATTAATTTGAAATTTTATAAAAATATTTTATTTGACATATTTTAAAATTAAATAATTTAAATTATCAAAATAAAACCTAATGGGTCCATTCCATACGCACATCAATGATTATTGTACAACAACCACATTGTGCCCTAATTATGAGCTCCAGTTAACTTTTCAGACAAACCGGCGTGGTTGTATGAGGAACTATGAAAACAATAAATAAATTGATTTGACATTTCTAAAGAAAATTCAAAAAATTAAAAGGTCATAATTTTATTTAAAATAAAAGGCTGTTGATACATCCCCATTCTTGAATATCCAAAATGTGTCCTTAGTCACGTGACGTGATAATCCGGCGACGATGTGAAATAAAATAATTTTTTTTTATATATAATATGAATTTTTTTATTATAATTACAAAGATAATATTTGTAATTACAGAAATTAAATTCTGATTATTTATAAAGTTATTTTAAGATTTTACTTTTTCATGTCCACCTTATTTCATTTGCTATGAATACTTTTCAAAGATTCAACTGAGTATAAAGTGTAATTTTTTACTTTCAATTGTATCACTGCTCTCAAACTTCCAGAAAAATTAAGACCTGGTTTGGCATAACTTATATAATTCATCTTTTTATCTTTTTATCTTTTTTTCATCACATCACTTCTCTATTTTTCTGCACATTTTTTCGTAAAAAGATAAAAAGTATAATTTTTTAGGACATCCCAAACCAACCCTAAAAAACGATAGACAAAGTGTATATGGAAATAAAAAAAAAAAAAACTTTTTAAATAAAAACTTTTATTGAATACTTAAAAATCTACAGATATGATAAGAAAAAAAAAAAAAACGCTTTTACTCACTTATAAAACTCTACTTCGTGACTTTATTTCTACAAAACGCAACTACACCTTTTTTGACTTCAACGGAATTGAAATGCATAAAATTAAAATATAAGGTTCTTGTTACAAGATAAGAAACCTTTTATATTCTGATTTATTGAAACTAACAACTTAGTAGTGGTATCTCTACCACTTTGGTTTTATTCAGCATGTGACTCCCTTGTTTTCATTCACCATGTGATCTAATTTTTTGTGTCTCCTTGGATGAATATGTCATGTAAGCTTTCTTTTTGGCTTTTTCTGTCATGTGAGCCTTACTTGGCTTTGTCTTCCATGTGACTTGTCTGAAGGATTTCTACCTTTTTTGGCTTGATTTATCATGTGAACTTCTGCTTATTTTTTAGAAATGCAGAGGTACATGCCTCACATTGATTCATAGTGAATTTGGGTTCTTCTCTTGATTTTGTAGAGTTCCAAAATAGCTGTAGAGATGTCTGGTGTTTCAATTATCTTTTTTTGGAGCATCTTGAGTACTTCCTTTGCTTTGTCTTCTCCTAACGTAGATGGTTCAATGACATCTTTTTCGCTTCTTACCACAACTCTCTTCCCATCACAGAAGATTGTTAGTTCTGAATGTTGGAGAAGAGTTTCCAATTAATTATGGAAAAACATGAGCCTATCAATTTTGCCGATGGTAGAATCATACCTATAACACCCCGAATAATGCCATTAATGGTAATTAATATGAGGCACCTTTCAACCAAAATTAAGCTATTTGATTATATAGAATAAATAATTTATTACTTGAAAAAGAATATAGTGAATAAGATGTGTGCACATGAATTCCTTTGTCAAAATAATCA